GCTCCATTACTCCAGCAGAGTATGCAGAGACAGTGTAAGCCAGGGACCTGGGAGGCTTGCTGATGCTTTTCTAGGCTGTATCTGCTTAGACAGTGGGCTTTGGGGGGATTTGTCTCTTAAATCCTGGATACACAGGATTCTGTCTGTTGGGATATGTTACGTGAAGCTGGGCTGGCTCCTAAGAATTTTTCTGGTATAGAGATAGGTCAACATGTGAGCAGGATGAGGCTCAGAATGTGTAACTGTAATAATCATGATTAATTTTTCTCTGTGGCTCTCTAAAGACAGAAAGAAATTAATCCTGTAAGCAGTGAACTATCTGCTACCTCACTACTGCTTTTAGCCTCATTTCCTACACTCCCAGCTTTCTTCACAGTGGCATATTCAGAGTGAAACTTGTACACTGAGCTTCTGATTGCCTTCAGCTGAAAACCTGTCCCAAATCCTCCACTGAGGTTTTTAGGAGAAGAGCCCAGCTTATTCAAATAATCATATGCATGCTTTGTCTGGATCTGTCTGTTTCTTCAGTCTTCTCCCCTCCTAAGTGCATCCTTACAAAGCTTTAGGGAGAATTTTCCTTAGGAAATATCTGTGGAGATCTTTCCTGGAAACTACTGGATTACTAACCATTAACTTACTCTGCTAAATTAACAAGCAGATGTTTGGCTGCAGCACTGGTCAAAGTAAAAAAGTGGTAGTGAATAAAAGCACTGTTTTTCAATAAGAATATAGTAGAATGATATAAAAATTCCCAGGTTTTGAGAAGAAACAGTTTTCATAATTTTTCTCTTTAATTACTGGAAATGCAGCGGAATGGATTTTAATCTCAAATTTGTGGGTTTTAAGACCATTCACTTCCTTTGGGAATTCATCTGCATTTTATTAACAGCACATTGTTTCTTCTCATTGTAGCATTTATCAGTTGAAATATGTACTTTTTATAGACACTGACAGTATTACTGATAATAACAGTGAGACATTAGTTACCAGGTTCTAGAAGAAAAACTCAAAATCAGGAACATTGAAGAGGATGTTACAGAGGTAACCCACACATGATCTCAAGAAGTGACCAGGTATGGTCAACTCTCTCTTTTGTTCTAACATTCATGATGCCCATAGCCATAGGTAGCCTCGTATTCCATATGTAATGCTCTACACATACCCTCACACCAAGGCAGGGCTGGCTTATGGGCTGTGGGACTGATTGTTGGGTAGTTTCACTTCTCTCTCAGGAAGAGTAACCGAACACAGTAACAGAGCTGGTGCCTTTTTAATGGACAGTATTGTTAGATGTGTGTTTTGGTACCCTCTTGAGGTCTGTGGGTATGTCTGTAATTTAACCAGTGACATTTTTCAGGGCTGAACTGCCCAGTCTCCAGTGCTGCCTCTTCCTCAGACTCCTGCTCTCAGCTTGTACTCTGGGCATGGAGGTTTACTCAGAAAAAGATGACAGCATAAATCACACTGAAATGGGGTGTGTGCCAGTACTAAAGAAGAAAGGGAAGAGAGGAAGCTCAATCTGCCTGCAGATTTATTGGAAAACACTTCTAAGGGTCCTTCACTGGCCTTCTACAGCTCTCAGTCCAGTGCACATTTGTTTTCCCACTTCCCAGATGAGCCTTCTTTGCTGGAAGGTCTCAGAGCACACACAGCATGCCTGTGAGATGGTGGCTGATACACTGTGTGCTTGTGTTCTCTTCGTTTATGTTTTGTAGGATTCCCTGATGTATGAAAACCTTTGACTGTACCCCATCTCTGTCACCTGGTTGTACAAAAAGATGAGCATTTGAAACCAACAAAAGCTTGTGTGAATTCACAGTATATTGAATGCTGCTCTATAGCTGCTGTGTGACTCTTCAGACACAGAACAGAATGGTATCATCCATTGGGATGTAGCAAAACACTGCCCTGATTTGCCTGTAAAGTGAACAGCTCAGGGCAGTCTTCAAGGGAACAACTTTCTCGAATTACAAGCAGATATGCTGGAAGTGCTATCTAGTTGGAAGAGCAAAGCATATGTGCAGATAGGATACTTTCATCTTTCTAGTCATTTTAATATTTCCTGTTGGAAGATGAGCACATCTCTGTGCTCACAGTAGAAAAAGAATGAAGGTTTTTTAGGCCTTCATTTAAGCACCATCTGTGAAATGCTTTAAGATCCCTAGGAATGGAAGAAGGATAGTGATGGATGTGTATGCTGACATATTATGAAAATTACCGATGTATTTTGGGGTGTGAGAAGCAATTCATAATCATCTGTGTTAGATTGTTAGCGGCAATTTGCTTTAATAACACCATGGATTTGTTTGCATCACCTTCATGTACAGCCTTGTTCTTTTTCATGCAGTTGAGACATGTGACAAGAGATGGTTGATTTCATACATTCATTCATACATTCATACCCTCTGGAGAAGAATTTTAAAAACTTGAAAACATAAATAGTGCTTTAGCTTCATAAAACTGTTGATTTTTTAAATTGGTTTTATTTAACTGCTAGATTTCAACAGATGGGTTAATTTATCTCACTATGTCTTTATATATATTTAGATGGTTCCCATTCTCTGTAGGACTTGTGGGCATCCCAAGTATTTTAAATCAGAAAAAAGCCTTTCCTTCACTTTTCTATCTAGCCACTAAGTGGAATAGCTTGATTAGATTATAGGGATTACATTTGTTGGGCTGGCTACTTAGCCTCCTTTGCATGATTGTGTGTGAAGAAATGAAGCTCAGGAGAGAAACTCTGCATTTGCCTCTGACTGCATTCAGATCTAAGTTATTTCTATCTCTGTGAGGAACAGTGAGTTCCACAGTGCATAAATACTGCCTGGGAAACGTGAAATTCCCAGTCTTTTCTCACCCCTTGGTCAATGGTGGCACTGCTTCAGCAGGAGCTGGCTATGGAAGACTATGAAAGGCTTTGAATATCAGAAAAGAAGACCGAAGTCTGCACTTAGTAAGGATCTAGGGTGAGCAAAGCACCACCCTGCTCTCCTTTGCTAGGCAGACATCTGCTGTATTTTTTACCTGCTGTGGTTTATTTCAAAACACAGAGAATTTCAGTAATTAAGATGCAAGACAGAGTGTGTCCAGGACTGCACTTCTTAGGATGAGGTGCAATCTTCTGGCCAGTCCCACCTGGAAGAGGGCATTTCTGCTGATGCTGTTCAGCCATCCACTGACAATGTGAAGGACACAGACACCTGTGAGACAGGCTGTGAGACAGATGCAGCAGCTGACTAAGAAACACTGCTGCTGTTGGGATGTGAAGGAAATGTTTAACACAAAACTGAGCATAGAGTTGAACTGCATAGTCCAGAATAGAAGGTCCTAAACAAGACACCAGACCGAAGAGATATCAGCTTCATTGACCATTTCACTGTTCCCACAAGACAGAATATACAGAGTTTAAATTCCACCATAATGTTGAGAGTAGCTGGCTTCTGGGGACAACAAAGATCTGAGTAAAGTGTCCCAGTCATTTCTTGTGAGCATGTGCATGATCTCATGTGAGTTACTCCTGTAGAAGAATTTAGAACAGCCTTTTACAACCCCTCTATACCTACACAACCTGCACCCATATGCCACAGAACAATTATCAGGAGTTTCAGTTACTATGTGTTCAGGCCTGCCCAGGCTAGTCTTAATCTTTCTGGTCCAAGCAATCTGAGTTTTGTAAACACTGTTTACATTGTTTATTTGTAAACATCGATCTTACCAAGCTTACCAGGGGCTATGGAGGCGTTTGTAGGTTGATGCCACCATGTCCTCATTACTAGTAACATCCTGTAAGCTGGAATCCATTCAGCTGTGCCTAAGTGCCGACTTCCAGCTTTCCTCCTGTCTATGGACACAGGTTGTGGTATTTTGGTCCCTGAGTTCAGGTCTTTTTCACTGTCTTTTTTCTTCTTGTCTTTTCTGCCACAGGCCATCAGAGCATCCCATTGTGCTGTGTGACAGGGAAGGAGGATAGGAGAGTTCTCTAGAGTAGCTAAGGCTTAGGGAGGGACAGTTTCACCACCTCATCCCTATTGTGCCTCTTGGTTAGGGGAGAGTTCTGCAAGTCTGATTCAGCATGATGGCACATGCTGAATTAACATTTGCCTTAGGTGGATGTTCATTTGGTGTCTCTCACTCTGCCCCTCAGCCTAGGCATGAAGCTAGCGGCACAGTTCAGATCGTAGCCTTGTTGCTCTCTGGAGTTCTGTGGAAACTGCAACACGTCCTTAAGGCACAAATCCCCACAGAGCCCGAGAGCAGCGCAGCTCTGGCAGCACGCGGCAGAAGGCTAGTTTATAAGCAAGTTACTGGTGATTTGGGCCTTGCTGGAACCCCCCGACTCTGCTTCGGCTTGGGTGCGCGGCTGCTCCGGACAGAGCCCGCGAGCAGCGCATAACCCCGAAAGCTCCAGGGGCATGGGTGAGCCCTAGGCTCAGCCAGCCATCGGCAGTAGTGTCCCCACACCACAGGATGTCACTACGGAGCCAGCGGACACCTTTATATTTCGCTGCTTTTTATAGCCTTTCCTCTGATGCTGTGACCGCGCGTCACTGAGGGCACTGCTGCCTTCAGCGGGCTCTAGGGCCCCCGAGCGCACCCCGGCGGTCACCGGGCAGCCCGCCCATCATAGGGGAGGAAGAAATTATTCGCTCCTTTTTGCCTCCCCCGTCTCGGGACGGCACCGCTCCCCAACCCGCCCGGGGAGCAAGGGACCAGGACGTCGCTACCGCCCGGGAGCTGCGGGCAGCTGGACCCCGCGGCCGGGCCCTGGGCTGTTGGGGCCGCCCGCATCCAGCCCCGGCGGATGGCGGAAGAAGGAGGGTCGAAAGCGGTTCACTTCCGCCTGGCTGCAGGAACCACAAGCCCTCGCAATATATTAGAATTATGATTATAGAAAGGTTCCCCCCCTCAGCCCCGATTTTGTCCCCCTGGAAGGAGGGGGTAGAGAGCAGAGAAGCGAGGCTGCCGGCGGGCGGATCGATGTGGAGCCGGTGAGGCACCGCGGGCGGCCCCAGCTCCCCGCCGGCACCGCGGCCGTGGTCGGCACGACAAGCGTAGCCTCCCCACGGAGAGGCCAGGGAGAAGGTCTGTGCTTTGCCTTTGTACCTCGCGCGCCCGGCAACAGGCTGTACCCTGGGCGGGCTCCTGGCAGCTCGCGGCCCTCCTGCAGATAGCCGGGCGTCAAAGCCCAGCCAGGAGTTCGTGCGGGGCTGCAGCTTGCTGAGGGCTGGGGAGAGCCGCGAGCACTTTGTCAGCATCCGGCTCTCTTCGATAATTCCCAAACCTGTACCTTTTAACCACCCCATCCCCTGTCCTCGGGCTGAGGGGTCTGGTTATTTGAGGCTTCAGGGAGAACTGGCTCTATGGAGAAGACTGGCACGTGCCCGGGGACCCGGTTGGCCCTGGATGCCGCGAGCCCGGGATGCCGCGCTGCCGGCTGTCCTGCAAGACAAGAAGCCTCGCGGGGGGCAGGAAGGGAGAGGAGGCCAAGGCTCTTCAGGCTCCTCGTGTGAGCCACAAACTAGCCAAGTTGCTTGCCCGCTGGACCAAGTTGAGTGCTATTGATGTACCTTCCCATGCCAAATGCACCTTCAGTGACTTACCATTCAATTATCTTAAGATCGTTGCTTTTCACATATTAAACCATTCTCTACTTTTAACATGCTATTTTTAATCTCGAGGCTTAGCGGGATAAGTGTCTTTACACGAGTCACTATCAGACTCACAGGAAGACAGTAATTGGAATGGGCCGTCTTTGATGTCAGTCAGCCTAAAACACCTCATTTGCCAGTGACATAATCCATCTGCCTGTCTAGCCATTCTCGGTTTGGATCTAATGGCCTAGTTTAAGGGATCACCATCAACTGGCTGAGCAGTTTAAGAAATTGGTAATGGTCAATACAATATTAGAAGTGGAGATGAGCACTGTGGACTTCTACTGAAACAAGACAAGGTTAAATTAGCCATTCTCCCTTTGGGCTGGGTACAGAACCCCCTTCTGTCCTGTTACTGTCACTTCAGTGAGCATTCAGGTTTTCTTTCTTGGCAGAGTCTGGGCATACTCTGTCCAACAGAGATAGTGAGCTCTGAGATCCTGTAAAAACTTTGCTGCAGCAAAGTCTCTAATGCTGATAGAAGTCCCAGCAGGTATGACTTACTGGCCACTGGAACACTCCTTCTCCATTATTTTTAAAAAAAGTAACTGCTCTAGTAAACTGTTGCACCCCTATATATAAATAGTTTTCTTCACAAAGGTCAAACCTGTGGTCTGTAAGTCTTCAAGTCATTCTCACTGAAGTGACAATTCTCAGGATCATGCAAAGATTTAGGTTAGGATAAGTATATGTTAAATGATAGAATAAATGTATTGACTGCTGTGATCTCTAGTATTCTTTTAAAAGGTAGAGAGGCTGACAAGCTGAATAGATAGGGCTATTCCAATAGCTCTGATGTTGAAGGTGACATCTTAACTAGGGATCATAAATATGTTGATTCTCTTTATATGTATATTCATTCTTTTTAAATTTGTGTTTGATGTCTAAGAGAACTGAACACTTTGAATTCCAGAGTGCTTTAATGCTTCAAACCTGTACACTGGTAGCTGAGCACTGTACTTTGGAAATCCTGCCAGAAGCCTACAAAATTTAATATTACTTTGATGTATAGCAATGTATAAGGGAAGTGGTTTGCTTAAGACTAGTGAAAGACTGGGGAAGAAAAACCCTGCCCTCTCTTTGCTCTGTGCCTGCAACTTCCAACTCCGTTCCTCTTGCCCCTTTTTGTTCAGCCAGAAGTGTGACAGCTAGAATTGTTTAGGAGCTAGGTGCCCTCCTTTCTGAAGCTTACAGGAACTGCGGTCACAAGAGGGAAGAGGAAAGAAAGAATGTGAGTATTCAGTCTAAAGAGACATCCAGAAATTAAGGTATTGCACTGAAGGAATGAGAATCAGTGAGCTAAAGCAGTCTGAGAGCTGTTGTATGAAAAAAAATAAAAAACTGGCCCATCTGTAATTTTGCTCATTTCCTTTCATGAAATCTGAAGGTGCATTGAAAACAGTTTAAAGTTCATGTTGTGAAGCATGTGAATTAAGCTCCTAACTTATATGAGAAAGTGGAGTGACTTCTCAGTGGTCCTGCAGTCACAGCCTCAAGTAGCATCCAGCTGGGATACAAGTGTCTCGTGGTGTGGTTAGCTGTGAAGACTGTTAATAACAGTCTGTAGAACACAGTTATTCTTCGGCTTGTGAATAGGCAGAGGAAGGGAAATAATTTTCTTTGATTCTGCTTCCCTTTGAATAATTTGTTCTGAATTCTCTTTCGCTTTTGATGTGACTTGAATTTGTGGTGGGGACAGGATGCAACTCTGGCTTCTTGGTCAGCTGGAGAGGAAAGCGCTACCTGATTAGGCAGCAATGTAGATCTGCTGCTGTAACATGGTTGACTGCAATAGCATGATTAACTCTAATTGAGTTTTGTATCTTCCCTGAAGACTGAGTCTTGTAAAGGTAGTCATCACTTCAAAGTTGAAAGCACTTACTGTGAGCTTGGGATTTATACCACAAAATCATTTTCCTTAGCACAGACACAAATGGGTAGAAGTAGTAAAATAGTAGCTTTGGATTATACTGTTCAATACAAAGATGTCAAAATAAGTGAGAGGTGCTTTATCTGTGAATGAAGTACAGTTCTGAAAGGTAGAAGTACGGTGTAGTGGTGAACAGTATGGTACAGGTAGAGGCATCCCTCTGCCACAGGCAGCAGTGATACAGAGCATGAATCTTTCTGCATCTGTTGCCTGATGTAGGTGTTTAAATTGCTGAGATTTCATCTTGATCTTAAAAACTAGGGTAACATGTTCTCCAAAAACCTTACCAGTACTTGTAATGTTATTTGAATGCTGCTGTGTGGATTTCTCTTTAAAACCAGGTTTACTCTCCAGAAGCCAGGGAAATCTGGATATTTATCTGCATTAGCAGAATGGTATTAAATGCAAAATCCCTAGCTGCCATAAATATTTATTCTTATCTTAGCTGGCTTCAAACTGCTTCTCTGACCGATTGCTGTCCCTGAAGGTTATTTTCACAGAGATTTCGTAGTGAACACTCACACACTGATAAACTTCCAGATTTCATGTTCCTTGATATTTCTAAATAGATTGTCACTAGCTGACAAATAACTACATAAAAACAGTCAGTGAAGAAAGTATGGGCCCAAAAATACCTTTGGGCATCAATACATATCACTTTAAATCATCAGATTGTAACTATTTCAGTATATCTAAATACTCTCAGTCGCTCACAGTGCTCTCCTGAGTGCCTTAAAATGATCCTCCTAGTTGAAGCCTTAACCCTTCAGATAGAATAAGATACATTTTGAGATCCTGTAGCAGGGTATGTATAGAATCTCCCAGGACACACTGAGTCCATGGTGGATGAAATGTTCATTGAGTGCACTGGAGATTTCTGAATATAGAGTTCTCCAGTGTGGGTGCTGGCCCTTGTGGGTATTTTGTGGGTAGTGCTATTATTCCTTTTAGCTGAGTATGGACAGCCTGTCTCCATTCTTGATCGGTGCAGAGGGTCAGTTTAAGTATTATAGAACTATATTAATATTTACTAAGGGCCTATAGTCTGGTTCCAAATTTATCCAAGAAAAATCACAGAATAATTTAGGATGGATGTGACTTGTGGGGTTTATACAGTCCAGCCTACTGCTGAAAGCAGGACCAATTTTTAGCAGGTTCCTCAGGGCTTGGTTCAGGTTAAATTAGCAATATCTCTAGACAAAGAGATCCTACAACCTCTCTGATGTAATTTCAGTGTTTGACCATCATAAAAAAACCCCAAAAACTAATCAGAATTCCCTATGTTTTACTTTGTGTCTGTTACCTTTCACTGTACACCTCTTGGAAGAGTCTGGTTTCATCTTCTATACCTTCTTGGTAGGTAAAAGTATATATATAAATAGGTTGATATATAGAGAGAGTGAGGATAGAAGAAATATTGAAAAGGGCCTTTTCATAACTGCTTTTCATTACAGGCAGCTTTCCTAAGGCTAAGATCTACCATGTGGTTTATTCTGATGTGAAGTTCAGATTGTCACAGCTGTAGCCTTACAATGAACCTGTCCCCTAAATCCTACCTTTGAATGCAGCATTATGTAACAGACTGCAGACCATGTTACTGGACTGGATAAAGTGCTGAATTAATGTGTTCCCTTTTCTACCTGTGGGGTTTTTCAGGAGCTTCTTGCAGTTTCAGTAATGAAACCCATTTGTTGGCATGTTTTCCCCCTAAGGGATTAATTTGATTTTGCGGTGGATCCATTCTGTCATATTTGTATGGTGCAAGACATTTTCTTCCCTGACACCAAGTGTGCCCCAAGCAAAGTCACCAGTGTCAGCAGTTTCCCAAATTTTAAACCTTGGGTACCATGAAGTGGCAGCGTTTTCTGCAAGGCAGCTTGTGATCATGAACATAAACAGTGTGGAAGTTACACATTTCTGTGGGAAAGGGAAGGTATGGATCATCTGCACTGGCCTTAAATGTCAATAGGCCTCATTAACAAGGGCTTTGAAACAGCATGAAACTGTGTTGGGAGAGGTTTGGGCTGGATATTAGGAAGAGGTGCTTCACTAGGGGTTTGCACACTGGAATAGGCTTCTCAGGGAACTGGTCACAGCACCAGCCTGACAGAGCTCAAGAAGCATTGGGACAATGTCCTCAGATACCTAGTGGGATTACTGGGGTTGTCCTGGGCAGGGCCAGTTGGGCTTGATGATCATTGAGGGTTCCTTTCAACTCAGGATATTCTGGGGTTCTGTGATTCTACGAAAATGTGTCAGCCAAAGCAAAATGGAAATAAAACTGTGTAGGAGATAAAAACATCTTTGTAGGTAAAATAATGGATAATGCCCTTTCCTAAATACCATTTATGAGTTCTGAAGTTGAGAAATTTGTATTTAACTTTCTCCATCCCTCCCAAGTTTTGACCACTGTTCCTTTCTCTTATGTTGTTGTTAGGTAGTATAGAGTTTGTGAATAAAATTTTTTCCAATAGGCTCAAGCAGGTTAATGCACTTAATGT